TTACTCCTTTTCCGATGTTTCCGGTAAAAACATCGGTGGCGACTCTAGAAGAACCCTTCAAAATTAGTTCTTGGGTTAGCCCGGTTATCGGACAATCCAAGAGCGCCTTTTCGAAAACCTCACCCCTAGGTTCAGCCTGGTTATCGGACAACCTAAAGGCGTTGTAACCACACCAATAAAAACGCAAAAATTGGAAATTCGAAACCATCGCGTCGCTCCGACCGCCTCGTTTTGACATCGGCGACATGCCTAATACCTTTCGATGCTATATTTTTTGAATCCTTTAAATTTATGGTACAAAATTTACTTTCAAAGATTACCTTGAATCCTTTATCACAAATTTGACTTGTACTTAGGAGATTATGCTTTAGCCCATCAACAAGAAGCACGTCCTTTATCTCCAAAGTATTTGCACGACCAATGTTTCCAATTGCAAGTATTCTTCCTTTATTGTTGTCACCATAGGTTACATATCCTTATTCTTTAGCTTTGCAACTCACAAATTTTGTTTTGTCTCCGGTCATATGTTTTGAACATCCACTGTCAAGATACTGCATAGACTTCTTGGATTTGGAAGTTTCCTACAAAATAAGAACATGATAATCTTAGGTAACTTTTGGGTCCTTGGGGAGACAATCAAATTATTTCACTATAGGAACCCAAACATATTTTCCTTTAGGAACACCAAAATATTTAATTCTACACCTATTTGAAGTATGACCATGTTTCATACAATAAAAGCATGCATTAGATGTAATCTTTGAATATGATACATTTCTAACTTTTGAAGTTTTAGTTCCTTTTACAACCCATACTCTTCTATTTTTAATTTTAGGCTTTTTCAATGGAACATGACAATTTTCTCTATTTTGAACAATAGCTTTATTCTTATAATTATCACTTATTTCCTTCTTAGCTTTATCAAGCAAATGGCTAAGTATATCAATATCTTATTCATACTCTTTACATGATACAAATGCTATATTTTTATTATTTTTTTCCTCTAAACATATAATTTTTGTTTTTAAGGATTCCACCTCTTTTTCAGATTTATTTAAACACTTTTTCACAGATTTATATTCATTTTTCAAGTCCTTAAAAGTAGTAAACAATTCTCCATATGCATTTTGTAAAGCATCATAATCATTTTCATCATCACTTGAGGAAGAGTTGGAATCACTAACCTCAAAGTCGGAAGAGATGTTGTCATTTGCCATCAAGCAAATGTTTGCTTCAATTTTCGAATCACTTGACCCTGAACTTGAGTCACTATCATCCCAAGCAATGTAGGCTTTCTTCTTGAAGAATTTCTTGCCTTTATGATCTTCATTTCTCTTATTTGGACAATCGATTTTTACATGTCCTATTTCACCACAACCATAACATTTAATATTTAAGGAAGTACTTTCTCTTACCTTTTACTTACCTTTGAAGGGTTGCTTCCCTTTGGCTTTCATGAACTTTGCAAATTTCTTTATCATGAGACTCAAATTTTCATCATCTTCATTCTCCGAGTCTTTTTCCTCCTTCTTGTTCTTACTCTTGGAAATTTTAGTTTTGAAGGCAAGGTTTCTCTTTTGATGTTGGCCTTCTTCATCATTTAGCCTTCCGAGTTCAAGTTCATGCTCTCTCAACTTTCCAAAGAGTGCAGCCATAGACATTGTAGCAAGATTTTGTGACTCCGTGATGGTCGTCACCTTCGGTTGCGATTTCTTATCCAAAGATTTAAGGATTTTTACATTTAACTCATCAATATCAAAAATTTTACCTAGCCCAGTGAGATGGTTCACAATATGTGTGAAACACTTTTGAACGTCAAAAATCGTTTCTCCCTATTGCATCCGGAACATCTCATATTCTTGAATCAATAAATTCTTCCGTGCTCTTTCGACGTCATCGGTACCTTCGTGGGTTACTCTTAGCATTTCCCACATTTCTTGAGCACTCTTACAAATAGATATCTTGTAAAACTCATCAAGGGTTAAAGCAGATGAAATTATATTTCTAGCGCTAACATCATATTGGGCTTTTCTATTTTCTTCAGCCGACCATCTAGAAAATGGTTTTAGTACCTCTTATCCGTTTTCAGTAATTTTAGGAACAAAATGACCATTTAAAATTGCATCCCAAACACCTCTATCAACAAACTAAAAAAATATTTGCATTCTAACTTTCCGAAAAGGATAATTTTGCCCAACAAAAAGTGGGGGTCTATTGATAGAAGAACCCTTGGCAAAAGTTTGATTTTGTCCGGCCATTTTCGAAATTTGAATGACTATCAAAGCAAGCTCTAATACCACTTGTTAGAATCGTGCAGCGGAATGTTTGCATTTACGGACAAAAACCAAGAGGGGGGTGAATTGGTTTCTTAAACAAAAATTAGGGTTTTAAATTTTTTCCCAAATTTCACCGATTAAAATGGTGTGTAAAGTAAATAGATAAGGGATATAAGATTACACAGTTGATTTATACTGGTTCGGATCAAAAGACCCTACGTCCAGTTGCTAATCACTCAAACAGAGGATTAACGTTGTCACTATAATCACAGTTTACAAACACATTACAAATTGAAAAAGATAAGGTAAAGAAAACACCTCTCTTGAGTCACACAAGAGATGAACACCTCCTTTGAATCCACAAAGGATGAAGAACAACTTTTCCTAGAGACGGCACAACACACAATCCACAAAGAAACCCACTCAGTGATTCTTATCACTTCTAGCCCACACTAGGTTTTCAAAAGCCCCTTTTTCTTCCCTATAAACAGTTCTCTAGCAGTCAGAACTCTTAACTTTTGTATGAAAAATGTTTGTTCAATTTGCAGAGAGCCTTAGAGAACTTTAAGTAGAAAGAATAAGGTCTGGGAATTGGGCATTTTCGAAACTTGATGAATTGGGAATAGGGTTTTCGAAACTTGGTCCAATTTAGAATTTCAAAACACATAACAAACCCAAATAATCGATTATCTTAAGTGTTAATCGATTATTCCAGAGCCATTCTCGTAGAAAAGCAAGACAGGGCCAGATAATCGATTAACAACCCAATTTATCGATTAATCCAGTGAGCATATACTGAAAATGGTTTTCTTTCTGTAATAATCGATTATCCTATGGTTTAATCGATTATTCCAGTAACTTTTTGATAAAAATGAGTTTTTAGAGCTTTTAAAGAGTGGTCTATGTGCTAGCTATCTTGGACTCTAATATTATAGACTCAAAAATATAAAAATAGAGTTATTACATAAGATTACAAGTCTTCAAATCTCTAAGTCCTTTATTCTTGAATCATCATCAAAATCTACAAGCTTCATATCCTTGTATGTTCAACATTCATATCCATGTATGTTCAACAGATAGTAGTCAGAGTTTATTTGGTTCCAAAAGCTCTTAGTTAATTTCGCCTTTTTTCGCGGTTTTATTCTTTTTTCTTGCGATTTTGAAATTTGGCTTTTTCAGAATGATGCGTGTGCCTTTATATTTCCTAGTTTCTTTCATGCACGCTGGCTTTTGTAAAAAAAAGGGGGAGGCAATTAGATGAAAAATGTTAAAAGTTTCATTTATTTTGTGGGGCTCAGAGTGCAACAGGAAATTTATTAAAGATCTCAACTTTCTGGCTTTGAGCTGGATGTTGAGGACGGTGTTAGCGAGGGGAATCAGCGGAGTACACGACGCTAGAATTCCTCTTGGCTTTGGATCATGTTGTTTAGGTTCTGGACTATCCCGTCCACCCTTTGTGTGAGGCCATCTACCCTATGGCTGAGAATTTCTTGTGCTCACTCATAACCCTCCTTCCTTAGGGACATCTGATTGATCTGTTGGTGCAGGTACTGGAATTCTCTATCCCTATGAATCCTCTCATCGCATATATGTTGATGTACACTGGTGAAGTCATCCCCGTATTGCGTTTGTTGTTGTTGGGATCCTGGAGGGATGGGTACCTCTTTTGACTCTGATGCGTCCATATCGTGAATGTCGATCATCATAGTAAGAAGGGGGTGTAAGACCCATGCGGTCCCTTATCGAGTGAGCATGCTCATGTTGGCGAGTATTGTCCCATCTATGAGTTCTGGTTGGAGGGCGGTAGGGATGTCTTCTCCATATGTGCATCCCCAATATTCAACCAGAGGGGTGATGAGGGGGCCTATCATAATGGACCTTGTTAGGCCTCGGGTCCCAAAGTCTTTCAAGGCCTTCAGGAAGAAGTAGCCGGGATTGCATCGGATTCCTTGATGCATGTAGTAGATGGCAAAAAGGTCTGCTTGAGTGACCTTGCCCTGGCTCTCCTTCCTGTTGTGAAGGGTTCTTGTTAGTAATTTGTGACAAATGCGGAGAGGAGGGAAGAAGGTGGTCCCCTTTGGGTTGGTAGGAATGTGCTGGGAGCCGGTAATCTCCTCCCATATTTGACTGGTGGTGAGGGTGGTTGGCGTTTCACAATATGCCCCCCTGTACTCTGCAGTTTGGATCTCTGTCGGTTAATGAAATCTCATGAGGACGTTGAACTCATCTAAGACGTTGGTTCGGTAGGCACCATTCATCCAGTATGTAACTGCTTGGACGGGAGGAACCCCAGGAATCATAGACGGTAGGTCTATGAGCGTAACAGAAGCAAGGAATTCTACTGTGGCAGTGTGGTGGATGCGGGTAGGCAGATCTTTGAGCAGGAAGTCCCACCCTATGCCTTGGATGTATCTCCTTACATCCTGATCCCAACCGAACATAGTTAGGATCCTGAAGTCTAGCCAAGGCATAGGGTGCCATGCATACTGGCTGATGTTGGCGAATCTGGCCTGGTGTTGTTCGTCAGCTAAGTAGGAATCTGAGGAGTAAGAATGATTCTTATGGGACTTTGGGAGCGTTCTCGGCGTGATGATGACTCACCATGGTCCATTATTCAACCAAATACACTTAAGTATGCGAGGGAAAGTGAAGGAGGAAGAGGAATGTGAAATTGGGATGCCATGAGTCATTTTGGGCACCTATATTTATAGGCAAAAATTTCAGGGGCAGACGACCGTCTGGTGTAGGTGGACGGCCGTCTGGCCCTAACGGCTACACCATGGACGACCGTCTAGATGGGGTGGACGGCCGTCTGCCCCCAACGGCTACCCATGGACGGCCATATGCTCTGAACAGATGGCCATCTGGTCCCAACGGTCACTGGCGGACAACCATCTGGCCTAAGTGGACAGCCGCCCGCTATACTCCCCCCCCTTTTTTTTAGAAGAATAGGACCCTATTCATCAACATCTATGCATGCAATTCTCAAGATATGCGTCCTATAATTCTATTTCAGTTAATATTTCAGAAGGATTAACTGAATGTGCTCTTGCTGGTGAAGTGCTTCTGACATCATGTTTAGCTGTACCATTTTTGCCATTTTTGGATTTTCTGTGACTGAAGAATGACTGTTTTGAGTGTGGAGCACTTACTATATTGGTATACTCCTCCCTTTTCTCAGAAATGTTGATCTTTTTATTGATTACTATATCTCCATATTTCCCTATTAATTACTAGAATTTCGTAGCAAAGGGTTAAGAGAAAAGAAGGAAGCGATTTGATTCAAAGGCTTGTGTTTTAGAGAGTTTTTATTTTCAAAACAATGGTATTTGTAAGAATGGCTAGCTAAGGTTAGTTGAAGTGTTTAGGCTGAAACAAACATTTTGTTTACGAGGTTGTGTCTTTAACTAATTGTTTAGTGGCACTTATTATGACTGATTGACTTCCCTAGACTGCCCTTCAGGTTTTCGGTCTAGGATGTTCCATTTTGTCCTAACTTTTGTCTAGGCTTCCTTTTTTTATCTTGTTTTAGGAATTCTAGCAGACTTAATTTTGTAACCCTCTCTTTTGCCTAAGCTACCCTTTATTGTCGTTCGGGTTTCCTAGCGGGTTGATCCTAACTTTTGCGTTACCCCCTTAATGGGTTTCCTACCGGGTAATTTGCCCTTTCTTTTTGGCCTTTGGCTTCTACGGGCTTCTTCTTTTTTGTTTTCTTTGTACAACATTGGAAAAACACAACTTTATTATGATGAGGTAAAACCCTTACTTGTGTTTCTAATCAATCAGTAATGGCAAATTCGCTCTATTACGATAATGACATGCTCTTGATTATTTTTGACGCATTCGAAAACGTTTGTTTAAATGTGGTTATTATGGGGTTCAGACATAATAAGCAAGAAGAGAAGCAAAATAGTACGAATTACATTCTTATTAATTAAAGGGGAAATACGTGCTCTTGGAGAAAGCTCAGGGGTCGGGCTCTCCCCGAGTAGTAATCTTTATTAGACTAACATTCCTAAGAATTAGAAGAAGCACACTTAATAACTAGAGTTGCTCTTGACGCTTGGACCCCTCCGCTTCGGAAGATCTGTTTCAGTGTACGGAGGGGAGACTTTCCCTTTCTTCTTGGAGCTCGATCCTTTGTAGGGTCATACCCTAGGCCATGCTTCAAAGGATTATCTTTAAAATCCGGTGGCTCCTTTATTCCTTGGGAATTCGTACCGAGCCCTTGGCCCGGGCGGTACCCGTATTTTGACATTATGTGGGCCACCTTCATATTACTATGAAGTCTTTCAACATTGACGATTTCAAGTGCTTGAAAGGATGTTTCAAGGGCCTCTTCACCTGCATCCACACAGGGTAGGGTAGATGGCTTGCTGATCAAGATATCGTCTTCATCTTGAACCGTGACCAGTTTGTCACCTACCACAAACATGATTTTTTGGTGGAGCGTTGAAGGGATCGCTTTAGCGTCGTGAATCCAAGGTCTGCCGAGGAGACAACTGTAAGCAGGAGTGATGTCTATCACATGGAAATCCACGTTGAAGATAGCGTGACCTATTTGGATTGGCAGGTTGATCTCCCCCACTACTTCGCGTCTTGATCCGTCAAAGCCCCGAACGACGGTGTTGCTTGGGCGCATATGGGTTCCTTGTACCGTTAGTTTATCGAGTGTGCACTTAGGCATGACATTCAAGGATGACCCATTATCCACAAGGACTTTAGCGATGAGATATTCTCTACACTTGATATGTGCAGAGGCTTGTTATGGCTCGACCTTCCAAGAGGGAGTTCTTCATCGGTGAAGTAAGATCATCATTGGCTATAATGTTGTCAATAATCCCTTTGAACTTGTCTTGGGATATGGTATGTGACACCTAGGATTCGTTCAAGACCTTCAACAGTGCATTCCGGTGTGGTTCCGAACTCATTATTAATGATAATAAAGTTATCTTCGAGGGTGTGCGATTGAGTTGGTCTATGATAGAGTACTCGCTTTGCTTTATGAACTAGAGTAACTCATCAGTCTCCTCCTTGGATTCTTCTTTATTCTCTTCTTTAGTTTCTTTGTTTTTCCCTTTATTTTTGGGGGTGTCTTCTTGTGACTCCTTGGGGGAGTAAATTCGTCCACTTCTGGTCATGCCCCCAATGTCGGCTATATTGGAAACTTCTTCATTTATTGCGTATTTCCATGGTACAACTTTATTCTATTCATTTATTGTGTCCTTGCCCCTTCTTCCTTATTGACTGTGATGACCAACGACTGAGGTTTATTGTCCTCCTTAGGTGGATCAGTCGTTGGGGAGAGCTTGATTACGAGCGGCTTTCTCTCCATATTCTTCTGTTTTATGGAAACACATCAGCTAACCTTTCCTTTTTATTATGTTATTAATTTTAAACAAGGAGGGATAATGTGAATGAATGCGAGATGAATGCAATAGACAGTTGTAAAGATAAACAAAAGGCAATTTTATTCACCAAGGAAAAAGAGTACATTCCTCTACACCATGCTATGAAGCACATTTTGGCAGAAACAGAAAAGCCTAATGAAACCCACAGGTGGGTTATGATTTCTACATAATTCCTCTTCGGCTTCTCGTACATGACGAGTGAGTGCTTCAGACTGCCGATGGACTGCCTAGCTCATATCTTCACTGTATTTTTGAGCCTATTTTATTTTTGCCTCTTGATGGACAACCAAGGCTTGTAAGTTGTTGAGTTTCTCAACAGCTCGGTCTCTCTCTTGCAGAACTTGGCCATACTGAGCTAACCCATCTCTCTCTTTGCAGCGTAGCTTAGCAAGGCTTCTGTTAAGTCTTTGGGTGGTCTCCCACCCTCGTTGTGCTTCAGACCGAGTCTTTAAGAGATCCTATTGCATCATCTTGGTCGTTTGTGCCTACTTTGCATATTCGGCCTCAAGGTGTGCTAATTAGGGCGTCATCTCTTGGAGTTGGTTATTTGAGTTGACTCTATTAGAATCGCGCAGTGGAATGTTCGCGTGGTCGGACAAAAACCAAGAGGGGGGGTGAATTGGTTTCTTAACAAAAATTAGGTTTTCAAAATTTTCCCCAAATTTTACCGATTAAAAACTGTGTAAATGTAAATAGAGTAGAGATAGAATCTTACACAGGAGATTTATACTGGTTCGGATCAAAAGACCTTACGTCCAGTTGCTAATCACTCAAACAGAGGATTAACGCTGTTACTATAATCACAGTTGTTACAAACAGATTACAATTGAAAAGATAAAGTAAAGAAAACACCTCTCTTGAAATCCACAAGAGATGAAGAACAGTTTTCCCCAGAGACGGCACAACACACAATCCACTAAGAACTCCACTTAGTGATTCTTATCGCTTCTAGCTCACACCAGGTTCCAAAAGCCCCTTTTTCTTGCAACAAACAGTTCTCTAGCACTCACAACACTTAACTTTTGTATGAAAAAGGTTGTTCTTCTTTTTCTGAGTGCCATAGAGAAGCTTAAGTAGAGAAATTAGGGTTTCGGAATTGGGATTTTTGAAACTAGGAGTCTTGGAATTATGGTTATCGAAAATAGGGTTGATTTGAAGTTAAAAATCAAAATCTGACTGAAATAATCGATTAAATGAAGTGTTAATCGATTATTACAGAGCCAAAATCAACAGAACCCCAAAACTCTCTGTTTTAATCGATTAAAAGACCTGTTAATCGATTAACAGGCCTGTTAATCGATTAACAGGGGTGTTAATCGATTAACAGGGGTGTTAATCGATTAAACCAGTGAGCAGATACAAAAAATGATTTTTCTCTCTGTTTTAATCGATTATTTCACCAATTAATCGATTAAAGCCGAGCCACTTTGATAAATTTGAGCTTTTTGAAGCTTCTAAGGTGCAGACTATGTACCGGCTATCTCAAACTCTAATATTACAGACTCAATCTAATCAAAACAGAGTTATTACACTATAAAACAAGTCTTCAACTCTCTAAGTCTTGTGTTCTTGAATCATCATCAAAATCAACAAGCTTCATGTCCATCAAGTTCAACATCAATTCCTTGAATGTTTCAACAGACTCTTGCAACTTTGGATGCTCGGACAACTTCCTTGTTGAAATCAACACACTTGTCCTTGAGACGTTATATCTCTTGGTCCTTCTTCTTGCACTACCTTTGCAGACCGTCAATGGTAAGGATTGATTCTTGTTCTTTCTCCTCAAGGGCCCTCAATTGGGCTCCCATGATTTCTATCATTTGGGTCAAGGCATCAACTTGAGTTTGTAATTCTCCATTTGCTGATGGTGAGGCGAGTGGAGCGGACGGTTGTAGCACCCTTCTACTTTTCCTCCATTCCTCATAGTCACTAGAAACAGCCACTCGAGCTTTGCCAAGCTCTTCATCCCCTATATAGACTGGTCTCTCCCATGCTCTTCGGATCGTAAGCGCATCCTTGAAGCTACTGGAATTATAAAAGAAACATAGTCTCCTGAGTTCTTCTCGTGCTGGCACAGTTTGGGTCCTCATAAGCCACCTCATAGATATCCTTGGGGAATAGGCTATGTGTTAGAATCACGCAGCGGAATGTTTGCATTTACGGACAAAAACCAAGGGGGGGGGGTGAATTGGTTTCTTAAACAAAAATTAGGGTTTTATAATTTTCCCCAAATTTCACCGATTAAAATGCGTTGTAAAGTAAATAGATAAGGGAAAGAGAATTACACAGTTGATTTATTCTGGTTCGGATCAACAGACCCTACGTCCAGTTGCTAATCACTCAAAAAGAGGATTAACGATGTCACTATAATCACAGTTTACAAACAAATTACAAATTAAAAAGATAAGAAATAGAAAACAACTCTCTTGAGTCACACAAGAGATGAACACCTCCTTTGAATCCACAAAGGATGAAGAACAATTTTTCCTAGAGACGAAACAACACACAATCCGCCAAGAAACCCACTCAGTGA